TGCGGTATTTTGGCCCTTTCCTGGCGAAGCGCATGCTTGAGGTGATCGACAATTTGGTATTTTATAGTGCCAACCTTGCTTTCCAAAATGCTCCAGACACAATAGTCCAACGTATTGGTATCCGAAGATTTTGTTGGCCATTGTGCGCTGGAAATGGAGTAGGGAACCACATTTTGTAACCGTACTTGGGTGGCGCATGCTGAGTGCGATAGTGCTGAGTCCTGTTGGAATGTTCAAGGTCTGCGGGCAAAATGTTTGCGTGCCCATGACTTTAATACACCCTCCTGAATATTTTCGCGATGATATTTGACATTTATTCTGATGCGATTAATACGAGCGGAGAGCGACCATCGGATGTTATGGCGGCCCACACCATCACCATGGCCGGCGCTTGAGTTCTGGTGGCCAACCGAAGGTGCACATTTTCAGCTGACCTCATGATCATTTTGTTTGTTTACAAACTGCTGGACAACGAATGTTTTCTCATTGAAGAACACCAAATTCGATCAAGTCGCTTCTTTACTTTTCAAAGCATTTCTGCTGATGTTGCTGTTTTCTTATGTCCACTTCCTTGACGTCGGGCTAAGCTACCAGTATCACGGTAACGAGCGGTGGAACGAGACACAAAAGATTTATTCACATTTAAATGCTGGGGTGCTCTAACGATAGCCAATTGTGGTTTTCCAGCCTAATAAAAAGAAATCAGACCATCACGCCTGAATTCAATCACGAATAACTTTTTTCTGGAATGTACGCTTGTAAACAATAAAATGAGCTGTCATTTATAAATGATAGCAGTCTGAAGTTGGTTGCAGTCTTTTCATCGCACCCTGTATAGGACATTGAATCCAATATGAACTCTAAATATCATATTTGTAAGTTATTCCGCTAGAAATGGGTACTATAGGAAAAAGTGGATCCATAAAGTCAAAGTTCTGCCGCAGGAGGTAGACCCCAATATAAACTCTTGATACCAGCAATGAAACAATAACCTTAGAAAGTGTGACTAAAATCGTCAAAATACCGAATATAGACAGTAGATATGGAGGCTATACGATTTCAAAAAAAGGACAGACGCCTAAAATGTTTTCGTACTATATATGTGGAGGGTACAAAAACAACTACAGGAAAAATCCAGGAGATTATGAACGAAGGGCTTAAACTAGAAGCCTCTTTTATTGGAGTTTCAAAAATAAACCTCGCAACCTAAATAGAGGGGCCAAGTTCACCACTCTTCAACATTTTTAGAAATTATCGGTTTAAGATTCTTTGGAATCTGTTCATTTTAGGTGTAAAATAATTAGTTATTTTGAAAATAGACTCAAAAATACCTCTTGGTGATTCATGTCGGAGTTAGAATATTCGACCAAAATGATCCTCGTATTATTATCAGTAATATAGCCGAAACAAGAATCCTTATCCGAAAATTTCCAAAAAAAAAAACCCGAAAGAAGGGGTAATTGTTCTCTCTATTTAGATTGCGCTCTAGTCTTCCAAAATCGGCGAAACACGTGTCTTCTATTATTAGCCCCACTTTCATGAACCACTGGATTATTCCTGTATTTGAAACGATATTCAAAAGAACTTCAACATCTTAACTAAAAAATCAAAATAATACTTAGGGAATTGAAACCTAAGCCCACCATAATGTGCCGGTGCATTTTCACAAATAAAATGCAAAACCAATTATTGGCCATTAATTTCACTTGATATTATAACCTTTAGAAATTATTGAATATTTTTCCACAGCAACACTCGGTAATTATAATTTCAAATTTGATTACACCCCATGGTGTGATAATAAATATTTTAAAAATTATGAAAATGTATTAACCATGCGCGATTTATAATTAAATTTCAACCAATTATTCCACCATAAAGTTTACACAAATTGTTATTTGTTGCAAACACACACACACACACACGAAAAAAAAGAAACATGTTTGCGAAGTTGGCCTGTATCTGTGTTAATAGATTTCTGTCCAAATGGCAAAAAAGGGCCAATAACAGTTGGGATATTCTTTTATTTCTACAACACGCCATTTGACCAAATCATAATGGCATGAATAATATGTATTTATGTAAGTGTGTATGTATGTACAAGTGGATGAGTGGCCATATTCCGTCCACTGCCACTGGACTATCTGCATACACAAGATATTCCATGGCGGACCATGGCCGCCATTGAGGTGCATTCAATTGTGTAATTCATATAAATTTTAAATCATTTATGTGTGTGGCATTTCCTCTTTGAAGGGATAATATTGCCAATCTGGCAAATGGTTATTTGATTAGAGTTGCCGTCTTTTGGGCTCGGATTTCCGTTCCGTTTCAATGGGGTCGGTGTTCATTTGAAAAACGTTAACATTTAATTGCAGCCATTGCAAATTATATTTCATTCAATTGCTTGGCAACAAAACGCTGAGACTGGGGGCAAGGCAAGAACTACAACAACGGAGGCGATGTTGTCCACGACCAACGCGAACAACGACTACGACGACGACAATGTCATTAGGTATTGCAAGAAATTCTGTCCCTGGGTATTCTTCGAATGCACAGAGTGGCCGATGCTGTGATTCCATCGCTTAGGTTTATTGTGCTGCAGGGACATTCAATTCGTTGTCCTCCAACAACGGCAAATGAATTCTGGCGCTTCTTTGAGGGCGTTGCTGGAGCGAAACTAAAATTTCATTAACTCGTCCTCTGAGCCAAAGAAAATAATTACGCGTTTTTTTGCGTCTATTTATTCTGTCTCTGTGCCATTTTATCCTTCGCCTTCTACAGCTAAGTGAAATTTTGCGCTTCATTTTAAAATGATTCTTACCGTAGTCTGCTGCCGCTGCTGGCAATAAAACGTTAAAGCAGGAAAAAACAATGTGGTTATATAATTAATGCATTTACTTTCAATTCTCGATAGCAAATAGCAGCAATTGCATCCAAAGCTTTAAACTCATTGGTTCTTCTGGAGATGTAGGTATTTACGGGTAATCGGTTATGCGAATAATGTTTTGTTTAATGGAGATTCCTTTTCGATGAAGATAAGACTTAAAAAAGATATGTAAGCGACACAAATTTCGTGATTGAGGCCAACATTTGAACTGATCGGGGAAAGTGAAAATTTTGGAAAGTAGTATCTGAATGGCAATTACTCTTGCCACTTATTCTACTCTGATTGGTATTAACGGGGCAATCGTTAAAAAATTACAGTGCGGAAAACTTATTTTCCACATTATCAAGTAAGATATCCAAAGTAGGCGCAGAGTGTGCGCGCTCGACTACATAACCGAAGGTGTAGACTATAAGTGGTCAAACAAAAACATGTAAAAATTATGAGTTAGTAGGCTTATTTGTAAGCAGCCACAATTGGCAAAAAACGGCTAGGGATAACTTAATTTTTTATTTTTCCTCATAAACAGTTGCCAAGCCCATAGGGCCTTGGATGCTTCCCAACAAATGGATAGTTGACTTTGACTACTCACTGACTTTGGTGATAACATTTTTTCAGGGTAGTTAGAAGGACTTGTACAACTACCAATTACCGACAACGTTTGTTCTTTCAGTATGCGGCAATTTGATTATTTATGTCTAAATATTTGTTGAACAGGCAGAAACAAGTACACCAAATTTAGCGAAAATCGGTTCAGATATAACTATAGCTTCCATATATATGATTCATCCGATTTGGTGTGTAAGTCCCCCACATTCGTAATATGCATTCGACAACAATGATATTTACCAAATATCTTACAGAGCTCGGAAATACCTTTGCCAAATTTTATCGAGATCGGCTAAGATTTGGATATAGCTCCCTAATCCGATTTTAGGTTTATTGTGCAAATAATGGTTAATATCAACCCAAATAGAGTGAATCTCGGGACGTACGTTACCATTTTGTGAAACTCTGCTCCGATATATATTGTAAAAATATAATCCTTCTTGAAGTGATAACATGCACTCAATAGCAAAGTTATTTGGTATAAAATATTAAAATGTCTCCGTCAAATTTAGAGAAAAAACGATTCAGAGTTATTATTTCTCTCTGAAACCAAACTATAACTGCTCGAAAGATAAATGTTGATAGGTGGTATGATCTACTTCAAATACATTTTTTAACGGAGCTCTACTAAATATGCATATTGGTTTAGGGTATCATATAGTCGGCCCGCCAGACTTTTGACCTTTCCTTTCCTTTCCTGCAAATCTCAATACAAGCTATTATTTTACTATGCCCTTAAAGATACGTCTACCAGAATGGAAACTGGTATCTTGCATTGAAGGCCTTTTTGAGTTTATGACGTATTCAGGAGGGTGTTATTCAAATTTTGTGAATAATTTTTGAACTATTTTAGGTGCATTTTAAAGAAGATTTTAATTGATAAAAAAAAAATTGGCCGAAACAATGTTTCCCTTGATACGTCTAATACTGTCTAAAATACAAGAAATGTAAAATATATTAACTTTAATGTATACGAATATGGCAAAAGGGTAGTATTACCTTCCTCTCTTGCGACTGATCGATATGACTTTCAATTGTTTCAAAGAACATTTGCGGATGTAACAACATTTTTCTAAAAACTTCAAATCCTGACAAAAATCTCAATTTATTGTATTTTCAATGAAAATTAAGCTTTTATTAATTTAAAAATTTAATTTTTTTAATTTTTTTAATTTTTCTCATTCTCATCACATGAAAATCGATTCTTAATAAAAAAAAATCGGTTGTCTTTCAACTCTAATGCAATTTTACTCATACTTTTACAAATATACGTACTTCATTACGTTGCAGTCGTAATGGAATCTGTTGCCACATTTAATTGAAGCATTTGTGGCTATGGGTGAAACGGTCTGATTGCGTCTATAAAATGCTTATTAAATTCTCAATTATTTCATGTCCACATTATCTGTACTAAGCATAAGAGTAGATGTGTATATGTATGTGTACGTTTATAATTACATTTCATGTTTTTTCTCCTCTCTCTGTTTACTCTCTGTTTTTACAGTTAATGCACGAACATTGCCACATCCCCGCCACAATAATGGGGCCAACATTATGGATCACCGAGCACGAGATGATCAGATGCTAATTAACAAGGCTGTTTATATTCCGTCCCCGTCGCCAGCACCGCCACCGGATGGCTCCTACTACAACATGAACAGTGACAGATATCTCTCGTACCCGCCAATGGTAAGTAGCCCTCACTGGACTTGACTGCCGTACAACCGTATAATGACCTCGGCGTTGCATTACAACGCCATTGACATTTCTATGCGGGGCAAAAAAAAATGAACGACAGATACGAGGCATATCGGAGCAAATTATGCATTGCATTGACTGCTACTGCTGTTGCTATTTATAGCGTTCTTGAGTTTTCTTAGCATCCATGAAGGAGTGTACTAAGAAGGACTGATGGGGCGAAACAGCCCATCAACCAACCAAACATCCTAGCACAAGCAAAACTATGCAAATTAATTATGAACATTTCTCAATGAAATTAATTTTCATTTTAAACTTTTCACTCAATGGTTGTGGTAGCAACAAATTGCAAACTGTGTCAGGGTATGTGACTCCACTCCCCCCGCCCCCCACCCCCCTTCATATCTTAATCAGCAGCTACCCAATGCTCCTCCACAATGCCACTGGTATCGCATTGCAGTGAGTTGCCACATAAGCGAATGCAACAGCTGTAACCATGGCTTCAGAGCAGCTGCTGCGATGCCACTCTGCCACAGCCTCTGCCGTTAGAACTGCGTCATTTCAAGTTAAAATTAATAAAATTATACAAAGAAAGCGGAATTTAATTTATGCCAAAACTTTGCAATAGTTCACCCTCATTACGTGGCAAGAAGCTCAAGCTGTTGGAGTTGCATTCGCCAAATCGGCAGCAGCTTCAACTGCCAGGTCCGGCATGAGCAAAGAAACCCCTCTTCGAGTGCTGTTGTGCGGGGAGCATTGCATTACAGAGACGGAGAGCAATCGCCAAATGAGCTTCGCACTTTAACGATAAAAAGTGGTTAACTAATTGTTCGTTCGATATAATCCAAAACCATGATTAACAATATATAAAATAACTGCGAACATTGACTCCTCCCCACCCCCACAGCGGGTGGTGGCGAGGTGGCCAAGTGCTTGTTGCAAGAAATGAACAGAGTCCTTCGAGATAATAAAATCAAATTGTTGAAAATGTTTCAACGGGGGAAATGTGATGAGCATCAAAGTTTTGCTTTTTATGGTCGCTCTGCACCAATATTGGTGGCAGGGTAATTGTTCTTCCATTGCCAGTCAATGATGTTGAAACTTCTGTTCGGCACTTTTTTTTCCTCTTCAATTTGGATGATTTTAATTTGCATGAGTTTTGTAATTGGATTCGTTTTTCGTCGGATAGAAAAGTACTTTACGATATACTTAACAAAAAAAAAATGCTCGCACACACACACTCTTACCCAGCAAATAATGTTCGCAATTTAACAAATTGTGGCGCATCATTTGCTATTGTTAGCACGCAAAGGACAAAAAATGTTTTCGTTTTTTTTTTTGTATGAAGCATTTCAAAGCTTTCGCATGGCAAATAAACAGCGGATACAAATTTTAAATTGAAATGTAAATTGCTATAAATTGAAAAAAAAGAAACAACAACAGCAACAACACCGTTGAACTAAAAAATAAACATGCTCAAATGTCAATCTTATAACTTACCTACGAACATAAGTGCTTTAATAAAGCCCACAAAATGGCAATACATTCACGTAAAGTTATTTGCATGTTTAATGGCATTTGTACTGTCGGAAATTAGGAGATATATGGCATCTAATTGAATTGGAAATGTTTCTTGAAAAGAATATCCTGAAAGCATTCGCAGGAAACAGGAATTTTATTAGTAGTTTTTTTTTAAATTGTTAATATCAAATTAGTTAGTTGTATTTTTAAGTATAAGAAATTATATTAAAGGTTCCGCATACAACAGTGAATTTCGAATAGAATTCGAATTCGGTATTAAGATCACACGTTAAAAGCCCTACTAACATATCATATATTACAAAATTGCAAAAAATATGGAACATTCTCTTCCATTATTCGGAATATCTTCGGTCCTGGCCATAATGTGTTTTTCATATATCCGAACTATAGTCACCGCCAATAGTTGTTATAACTCTCGAATGAAATATCTCATTTTGCGCAAGCTTTTGCACAACCTAAATTTCATATATCACTTTGATGGAGTTTGGAGAGGCCAAATATTTCGCTTCTTCTTTGTAGATCACCTTTTTCAAATGTCTTATAAAAACACCACTTATATATACTCCATCAGCTATATATTCACATAAAATGTTGACACATTAAGTTTGTCTGGATTCTATTCCGGCAATATTTATGCTCTACACTCTATTCAGAAAGATAAAGAAACAGGTACTACTTACTACTATCTAAAAATTGTTCCGTGCGACTTGGTAAGTTCTCAGAATAAATTTATCAAAAAAAAAAAAAAATTCCTTTATTTTCGCACCTGAAATTAAAAAATATATATTTTTCAAGATCATATGTTAAGCGAAGGAAATACCCAATGTATTTGCAAATCAACATTTCTATAAAGTACTTATCTCAGATGCGACTATGAGCAATATCTTCTGGTACCATGCCAAAATTTTAAATATCATTAATTATAATGTTTAAAAAATACAATTAAATCAAGAGCGAAAATATGATACATAATTTTGAAAGCAATAACATATATAGCAAATTTAGCATCCTTCTTTTCAAGATGTAATATAAAATGGACAAAATTCGGAGATAGATAGTAACCTCTACCATAAAGGGTGAACTTTTAAAAAATAAAAAATAAATAAAACAAGTTAAAAAGTGTCAATCGGTTCTGCCGACAGACGTATACCGTCAGCCATTGTTCGATTATTTTGACTTTCGTTATGCTTATTCAAACTGTTGGCCCTCTATGTGGGAGTGGGTTCTGTGGGAATGGGCCAATATTGTCTATTTCATATCGAACCTAAATAAATACGATATAAAATATCTGGTTGAGAGAAATATTTAGATATAGTAAATTGTAAAGAATCGCTGACTTGTTTCGTAAGTTATGACAGATAAAAGTATTGAAAATAGTGACCATTTGTGGGTGAGGTACCTGAAGGGGTTCAGGTAGTATAATCTTGAACCCTATGTGGGGGAAGTACAGAAGAAATGGTCCAATATGTACCATCTTAATAACAGATCTTGTTTTAATGAAAGTATTGAGATGTAGCAAGTCTGAATGGAATTGGATGTTAATTTCCATTTTATGATCTTCATGTATACTTAAAATGTTGACCCTTTGTGAGGGAGGTACCAGAAGAAGTAGACCGATACATCCCATCTTCACACCAGACCTTGGGTTAATAAAAATACTGTGATGTGTGTAATTTGAAGAGAACTAGATGCTTATTTCGGATTTTATGATTGTTTTTGTTATTCAAAACTTTGACCCTTTGTAGGGGAGGACCAGAAGAAATGGTCCGATCTGTACCTACTTTATAACAGATCTTGTTTTTTTTTTTTCTTTTATGTCGCCACCGTTTATTATGGCAACGTATGTCTTTTATTTATTAAATCAAGATTTAAATAGTTTTTTTTTTAAATGCAAACATTAATTTTACAATGGTCTTAATACAAAAAAATATTGTTATGTAATAACAACTGTTAGTTGAAGCTTAAACAAAAACAAATGGAAATGAAATCAGTCGCCAAAGGTCCACTTTCCGATGAAGGACATTTTCAAGTTGTTAAATTTAAACAGCCTTGTATACACGAACGGATTTGATGTCACCAATGGTAAGAGTGGTGATCAATTCGCTGTCGGAAAACTCACGAACAATGGTGGATGGCTTGTCGCCTTTTTGTTCTTGGGTCAAAGTATTTCCATCCATGGTGCAAACAGACTTGACTTTGCGGCCATCCAAAGTTTCTTCATCGAATTCCTCACCCAACTTGAAGGAAATGCTGGATGTCTTGAAAGTTGAAGTAGTGGTGAAAGTATAGAGATCACCGTCCTTCTTCAATTCGACAGTGGGGGTAACGGTGTTGGCCATCTTGCGGAGGACCATACCAACACCCAATTCCTTCATGTATTCATCGAAGTTTTCGCTTTTGTCCAATTTGTATTTCTTTCCTTCCAAGCAGGCCATTTTTATTATTTATTAGTTCTTGAGAGCGTGGAAACGAAAAACACCAACCTCGAAGAGTGACAACTGAATAATGGAAATATTGAGATGTGTTAAGTCCGAATGGAATCAGTTGTTAACTTCGTGTTTTATGAGCTTCATGAATATTCAAAATGTTGACCCTTTTTGGAGGAGGTACCAGAAGGAGTAGACCGATATATCCCATCTTCACTCTAGACTTTGGGTTAATAAAAATATTGTGATATGTGTAATTTGAAGACAATGGGACACATTTTATAAGAGATATAATTGTTCAAATTGTTGAGCCTTTGTGCGGGAGGTACTTGAGGGAGTGAACCGATATTGTCCATTTTTGCACATGGCCTAGCACTGATGAAAATATTAGGATTTGCAAAGTTAGAGCATAATCGGATTATCCTTTCTCGTTCTATGCAGAAAAATATTTTCTTTGAAAATTTTTTCAATTTGTGTGGGAGGTACCAGAAGCAGTGGACTTCTGTTATGAATTACACGTTTTGGTCGTATCAAATGATAAATACTCTCTGTAGCCACATGGCTGAGGGTATAAATATAACGTTTACCTGTAGTCTTTGTAGATGGTACACGTGTTACATCTCAGATTGACTTTCTAAAACCATTTTCGAAAGAATGTTTTACAACTTCTTAGGCCAACTTGTTGTAGAATCAATATTTTCCACATTTTTATATATCAGCTTAAGCCACATTTGAACATGGATTTTACTGGCAAATATATTATGGTACACCAAATTAGTATTTCAATATTTGATTCTCATTTGTTTATCAGTTTTCATTTATTTATACATTTACAATTTCGTGGCATATCATATTGTATATGCAGTGTCAGTAGTACGAAGATAACAGCTAGTACTAACTTTTTGTTGAAAGTAAAAGAAAGTAAAAGGTACATTTGAAATAACACTATTAATCAAGGTGACACGACAAAGACCAGCTGTTATTTTTGTTAAAAAGCATGTTTTTATTAAAATGGTATATTTTATACAAAATAAACGTCTACAACTTTGAACTGTATAATTTGTAAAATATTGTTTAGTGTTTTCTTACTTTTTATTTGATTTCACAAAGGGAAATGATTGACAGCAGGAGAAGTCTTAGGCCTGTATACGACTCCTTTGCGACCTTATTAAATTGGCTTTGCTATGAAGTAATGCTCAAATTTTCTAATTCACCAAAAAATGTTTGTTTAGCATTTTTTGGTGTTGTTGTTATTGGTTCCTATTTTGAATTATTGAGCTTGGACAACGGAGCTCAAAATATCCAGTTCCTAATGAATGAATTCAACTCTATGAACTCTTTTATGTTTTTATGATTAGCTGTCATTAAACCATTCAAAACGTCAACACACGGAACACAAACAACTAATTAAGAGCTAGGCTATGTGTGTTCTTCTAATGTTCCACTAACATTCACACATACATGCATACACATGTTTACATAGGGAAATATTTCATTAGAACCACAATGGGCAGTGGTGCACCCATCCTGTATACATTTGGTTGTATTCAAAACTTCTCGAGCATATCCGTCATCGCGTATTGCTGGGTGTTTCCGCAGCTTGATTTACTCATCGTGCTTTAGTAGCACCACCTCGGGCTTTTGTGAAGACAAACAACTACTTTAACTTGTTAGTCTCGGCGGAAATCTTTGTCTAATCCCGACCCACTAGTTGTGACTTCGTTTTCTCGTCTTTCTACTTCTTCTTCGTCGTCGTAGTCGTCGCCGTCTTTAGTATTTTCACAAACGTTCAGTTGAGTCACAAGCGTTTGAGAATATCCCCTGGATCACACTTTCCGAGTGTATATGTATGCATGTGTATGCGTCTGCACAGTTTCATAATCGGCATGAATGCGAAATAAAGAACTTTTGACTTTTCCCAACTTTGAAAGCTAACAAGTCTAATTAACATAACAAAGCCAAAACAGTGGAGCTGTTGTTGTTGCTTAAGAAGATGTGAAGACTGGTGGCAAATTAATGCTTGCAACTGCAACCAGGCAGATTAATGCCTGCGCATGTCGACTGGTTGCGGTTGTGGGGTTTGGGCTGGCTGTGTCCAGCTTAAGAGCTCCATTATGTCGAGGTGGTTGGGTGTGACCTAAAAAGATGCTGATTCCCATTTCTCCTTTTGCAATGATGCTGCTTGGCTGGTTAAGAATCTTCTGCAATATCCCAGAGCGATTGAAGTCAACTCCTTTTAGTACAAATTCAAGTTGCATAAATTTATTAAGAATTATAACGACAATCTTTGTTTTCATGAACTCAACATGTTTAGTCGTAAATTATAAAACGAAACTGATTTAAATTTTTTATTTCTTTATTTGCCCCCCCACACACACAACAACAAATTCGAATAAAATATGAGGAGAACTGAAATTATGTTGGTGATTACGAGCAGGATGAAGAAGGGGGGGGGAGGGTGGGGTAAGGACCGAACGAATCCCCAGAACACAAATAAATAAAAATAAACTCATCATTTCAATCCTTTTGTTGCGTACGACTCTCAAAAATTGCCAGATAGGTGGCGAGGGTGGGCGGGTGAACCAACAAAAAAGAAGCTTAATAAAAAATTCAATTTCATTTTATGAGGGGCTTTTTGTTGTTTGGTCAAATCCATTGTGGCTTAGAATTGTTGAACCTTTTGTTGCAGGACTGCTTGTGTTCCCATTGTGTCGGTACATGTGTACGTTTGTTTGTATAAAATGTTGTTGTTGTTGTTGTTTTTTCATAAATACAAATAAAACCATTGGCAGATATATATTATGACTATTGTTTGTTTTTTGCTGCTGTGCCGGTTGGCCTCTTGTATTCTTAGGGCAGTCTCACACTAAACAACAACAAACCAAAAATTGAATTATTTGATAAACATCATTTGGTGAAAATTACGGCTGCCTCTTTCAATTCACTTTGTCCTTTTGAGGCAGTCCAACGAGAATCCTTTTTGGTGAAAATGTCATTCACCCAAATCGAAGAGAAACCCACATCATCAGTTTTGAGGATATCTTGTTGGCCATAGCAGACCAACTGCATAGATCAACCTAATGTCGGGTTTTATTTGAACGTTATCAATATTCGTCAAGCTGTGAGGAAATTCGGGCTAATTGTTGAACTGAGAAACAAAATTCAATTTTACCTTCCACGTTTTCCAACATTTCCACCCGACTTTGAGAAATATAAAAAATATTTTTCTCCTCATTTTATTGCATATTATTTTAGCTGGGATAATAAAAATATTTAACTTCCTATTGCATTTAAGATTGTTTTTGTCTTTTCCCATTTTAGGGTATCAAAATAAAAATTCTTTAGTTTTACTCAACATCGTCATGTTGTGTCTACCCTTGAGTATGGGCGCTTTATAGAAAGGGGACGAAGATTTTATGTTTCTAATAAATGTCTCACTCCATTTCCCGATGCTGTAACTTTTTAACATTTAAATTTTATATGCACAGAAATGATTTTTCCATAGCTCCCTTGTTTGTCTTTGTGGGCATGCCATTTTTCACATTTGATATTACCTTGTCTGTCCATCTGAACGAGTCTTTAACTCCTCTGATATTTATGACAAATATTTAATTTTATTACAAAGCAATAGCAGGCAATATTTGTTGTATTGAAGACGGAGAGGGCTTTCTTCCGATTCTGTTTCTTATGGATACATCTTTTTGGGTTCGGCCCTTTTGTGGCATCTGTTCCGAGATCTAGCGGAATCACATGTGACAATTTATGACGTGCAAATGTATCGATAGCTAAACTTTTTATTTGTCCCATCATTTTTTTTCGAGAGGAAACAATTCTTTTGGAAAATAAAAAACACTTGGCCATGAGAAAGGGTTTAAATCCGTTCATACACCCACAGATATCTCCAGGCATTAAACATACGTAAATTTATTGACTTCACTTCAACAGGGCGGTCAGTTTGTCTATGAGTATAGGGTATTATGCATTTCACGTGTAAACAATTTATTTTTTTATTATTTTTAGAACACGGATGTCTGATAATAGATTTTGAATGTTTTTTTTTTTTTCATTCTTATGTTTAAAGTGAAGCTTAATAATCTTTTTGTAGGGCCCTCATATGACGGTTATCCTCAATTTTTAGGCATTTTAAAGATTTTACCATATTTTTAGCGAAGTTATGTAAAGTTTGGTACTATTTGTTTTAGTTATAGATAGGTATCTACACCTCTAGCGAAAGTAGTCAATGTAGATTTTTTTTATATAACCCCATATATTTATGCTCTCAGCCACATGGCTGCAGCTAAAACGTGCCTCATCGAAATAACGGTTTTACACCCTAAGTCTCTTTGGACCAAATCATTTGGATATTTGGAGTTAATCTAGGTCTCTCCGTCGTCCATCTGTCTGGCTGGGGCGCACTATAACTCTCAAGGTAGTATCTGCTTTGGCCCAATCTTATCAAATTTAGATCGCATTTAGAGATAAGTAACATTAGTCCACTCTTTTTGGATACTCCACAATAAAAGGTCAAGATTTTCACAAAAAAAAAAAAAACCTTATTCAACAAGGAAGGATCTTCCGATTCTACGTAAACTGTAAACATTTTAAATTATTATAACTCTAACAAAATGTGAAATAAGAGTCTTCAAATTTCGCACATATCAATATTTTTACCAACACAAGATCTGGTATGAATTACAGATAGAATGAACCACTCCTTCTGGTTCCTCCCCAAATGGGTCAAAATTTAATATAACTATGAAGCTCTTAAAATGCGAAATAAGCATCCCGTTCTTTCAAACCCAGCACGTCTCAGTATTTCTGGCAACACATGAGCTGGAGTATGTCGCACCACTCCTTCTGGTACCTCCCCATCAACGGGTCAGAAATTTGAATAATTATAACAGTTATAAAATGCGAAAAAATATTCATACTAATAGAAGATCTGATGTGAAGATGGAATATATGTTCGAACTTCTTCAGATACCATCTCCACAGCGAGTCATGTTTTTTTTAATATTACCCTCATAAAATCCTAATATTTTTTGTAACACAAGATGTTGCGATTTTTGGTATTT